AAGGAAGGAAGGAAGGAAGGAAGGAAGGAAGGAAGGAAGGAAGGAAGGAAGGAAGGAAGGAAGGAAGGAAGGAAGAAAAAGAAGCAGGAAGGCAAAAGATGAGAAAGGAAAGACCAGAGGACCTTGGGAGCGACAGCCAGAGTGTTAACTGGACTAAGAACTTCAGCTGCATCCTACTCAGGTCTGGACATTATTAGAGGTTTGAACCCAAATAGCAGTACTGTCTGACTTGCATTTGCTCTGGTTTATTCCAGTTTCTGCCTGGAGCAGCATTTCTCAACCTGGGAGTCACGACCCCCTGGTGGTTGAATAACCCTTTCACAGGGGTTGTTGCTTAAGACCATCGGAAAACACAGAGATTTACATTATGATTCATAACAGTAGCAAAATTACTTGCTAACCCTGGTGATTTCTAACCATTTCTACCTTCCAGGGAGTCTGTGACAGAGACTGAGGAACAGGTCCTAGATGGCCCAAGGGAAGACTTTCCCTCTCCTTCCCTTCCTTCCCCCTCCCTTTCTTCCTTTCTTTCTCCTTTCCTTTTCTTTCTTTTCTCCCTCCCTCTCCCTCCCTCCCACGTATTCATTGGTTTCATTTTCAATTCTAGAATCAGGCATCCCTCTCCTCCATTAGACAGAATGGTGTTGTTCCAAAGAGTCAAGCAGAGGAAGCTGGTTTTGTAGAAAAAAGAACAGAACAGACAGAGCTAACTGTGGGGCCGCAGGGGACCCCAGGGGACATCAGAGCCTGCTTGGGAGCTTTGGGTGTCCTTGTTCTATCCTGGTTTCTAGATGGTCAGGTAAGTGGATGAGTATCAGCTTGGTGCTGAATGACTTCAGCAAGAACGATGCCATTTTTACCTTTAGCCTGGTCTGTTGGGGCGAGTACAGGACCTTAATCGAGCACAAGAGCCTCCTGTGATTTTTTAATTAACAATATCCCACACTAAGTCATGCTCTCACCCAGCTACAAAACAGACCTCTGTCACCCTCCTCAGTCACTGTCCTGAAGATCACACAATGCTTGGAGCTTTGATTGATCCATCCCAAGAGAGACCGTTTGACATTCAACAGAAGACGGCAAACATTTAAAACTTTTAGAGAGGACCTAGTACAGCACAGGGTGGCTGTTATGACTGCCGGGAAGATAATAGCAAAAATTTGAAGTGTGCGCCTCAACTAACTAAATCGAACCAAGTACAGTTAATAGATCAGAGGATCAGGGGAGTAGTCCACCTGCCTCAAGCAAGCCTTATTTCTGCCCATCACTTTTTGCAACCGAGTCTCTGCAGTGCCTGATACATTTATCAATGAACAATGAGAAGTGACCCAGGAGCTGGGCTTTTCTGTCTGCTCAGATGAACGGAACAGAAGAACAGGAAATACTGCAGACTGAGGAGCTTCCTCAGAAAGCTTATGACCTTGCCTGCAAGCCTCCATCCTTGGTTCATTTTTGTGCGTTGCCTTAGAAGTCCAGGCCCAGAACAAGAATGAGCTGGGGCTTCAGAATGCCACCGGACAACCTTGAGACTGAAGCAGGGTAGGGAAAGACTCATTCTCTGGGATGCCCTGGATGCTGCTGACATCAGCTCTGGGTTGGTGCCTCTTAACATTTTCTGGAACCATATTTGACCATGGTGGTTTGA